TGTTGGGCTGTTTTAGCTAGGAGGCTTGTGCAGACAGAATGATAAAGAGGGTGGCGCTAGCTAGCTGCTGCTTATTGGTTGCTTGACTTGAGCAGGAGGGTGTTTGGTTTCACAAACTAAATTTTAGTGCATATCATATCGGATGTTTGATACTAATTTAGAGTATTAAATATAGACTAATTACAAAACTAATTGCACATATTGAGACTAATTTGCGAGACGAATCTATTAAGCCTAATTAATCCATAATTTAACAATGTGATGCTACAATAAATATGTGTTAATGATGGATTAATTAGGCTTAATAGATTCATCTCGTAAATTAGTCTCAATATGTGTAATTAGTTTTATAATTAACTCAAGTTTAGTTCTCCTAATTAGTATCCGAACGTTCGATATAACAGGAACTAACTTTAGGTTGTGTTTAGTTTTCAAAAAATTTCTAAAATTGCTACAGTAGCCATCGCATCGAATCTTGCGATACGTGCATGGAGCATTAAATATAGACGAAAAAAACTAATTGCATAGTTTAGTTGGAAATCGCGAGACGAACGTTTTGAGCCTAATTAGTCCATGATTAAACACTAATTGCCAAATAAAAACGAAAATGGTATAGTAACTAAATTCTCAAATTTCGTGAACTAAAACAGCCTTAGTCTCTGGCACCGGACACCCCCGGAACCGGAGCAGCACTAGCTCCATTTGATTCGCGGCACTAGCTAGCTAGTACGCCGTCGTACTAACGTGGTCATTTGTAGCAAGCATCATCTCAGCTACAACGTTCAGGAACCCAAACACACGCGTTAACAAAGAGAGATGCTGGATTATGTCGGGCGGCACTCCTGATTCTCGAGCCCTAAAAACACACATACAACACCACCCGATTCTTCTCCGGCGCGAGATGGAGCATATATGATGTATAGCCTCGAGTATATATAGTCGGCGTCTCCGCCGCGTGCGCGACCCATAGACGAGCATAGCTACTTGCTACCTGCGTAGGCCATGTTGGGGCTGCATGCGGACCGATCGAATCCAACACGGCCACGAAAAAAGAGGCCGACCGAGCGCATCAAACACCGCCCCATCGATCGGTCCATTCCATCCATCCCATGCAGCAGCATCCAGCCGGCCGGACGAGTCCCGGTTCGGCGCGCCCAGACTCCAACGCGCGCTCCGCCGAACGTAGCCACGCCACGATGCCGGCCGCGCATACACGGCTACGCTAGCTAGCTCTAGCGCACCGAACGACCGAACGATCCGATCCGTAGTCACCCATGCATTCACCGTCCAGTCAGTCATTCACCCACTCTCTTCACGTGGCCGGAGACCGAAGGACTCCCCGGCCCCGATCGACGACCGCGCGTGGATGCATGGATGGCGTGGGTCGCCGTCTCCACCAGGCAGCTGCCCGGCAGGCCGGCACCCCTGGAGAGCGACGCCTGGCACGGGCGACGCCGACGCGCGCGGTCGACCAGCCGCTTCCTGGCCGGGGCATCTCTCTAGCTCCGTCGCCACTGCACGCCAACCACGCACGTGTACGTACGTTTTGCCAAGCGTCAGGCCGGCCCGGTGAGACCTCGACACACATGCGAGGGACCGACCGAGTCCAACGGGAACATGGGTCGTGTTAGGTGTAACAGTGGCGTGGAGCCTGGAGCGGGAGGGGACAGCACGGCTCCGTGTCCATCCGACCGAGGGACACCAGCGGGAGGGATGGCACGCAAACGACGATCTCATCCTGTACCGGCCACTCCGCTTGTAGCCCTAGTTCGCTTTGTGCTCTGCGTGTCTGACGAGAAGATTGGTCGAATCAGCTAGCCCTATGACTTGTGACCTCCGTTCCCTATTTATTTTTTCATTCACAAAAGAAAAAAAAAGGAAAGGAACCCAGCAGCACCATGAACATGAGTCCATGGATTGTTCCCAGGAGGAGTCGTTGCTGTCCTGGTGGGCGACATGTGGTCCGCGCGAGCTGCACTGACCCGGCCCGAGCGAGTGATCGACCACACTGCTGGATCGGTCGGTGTCATCGACTCACCAAGTCACCATCACACGAGGGACATGCTCCGGTAGAGAAACCTAAGTTTGCACGCTGGATCATGAAAGGAACTCATCAAGTGGCCACCAGGAAATCGCATCTGACGTACTTGCATATCTTCTTCTGATATTCGTAAGCTTTTTTAACGACTGGACTTCACGAGGTCATATGCCCTGAGACGCAGAGGATTCAGCTTCATGTCCGGGCTTCAATGCCTGGTAGGTGGTAGCTGCCAGAAGCAGGGTTCAGCTGCATGTTCTGGCTTCGCTGAGTCCTCTGACTCGGAGACAACTTCGACACTTCGTGCTGAATTCATGTCCATCGTTCCTGTTTGCAGAACTCTGTTTTTCGTATTGCCAACTGGGCAGGGAACCGTGCCTTGACTATGCCAAATTGACTCAAATTCTCCTTCAATTTGCACCCTGAACACGGGACATTATCTGCGGACAAATCGACCGCGCTGTGTCCACCGGGTCAAAGTCCGCAAGCCTGAAAGAAAATCAGCACTAACGATTTGTCTAAGACTTGAGACGGATCAGGCAAAGCGGCTATTAACGAAATTGTCCATGATAATATAATAAATAAAAGAAGAACCAAGAAATTAATGGGCGAAGGCCAAGAAGCAGCTCTTCCATTTGGTCCAAAACCGCCGGCTGCGCTGCGCACCTGCCTGTTGTCTACACCGCACGCTTTGCCGATCGAATCTCTAATGTCGTGAACCGGCGGCCGGCTTCTTCGTCTTCAAGCCGCCTCTAACGTGGCTTATCTTCAGGCTGCGTCACGGTTCTAAAATAACACAGCACTGGTACCATCAGCCATCAGGGCCTGGTAGTGGTAGCCGCCACAATGCAAAGGGGACACCTTTTGGCCTTGTTTAGGATTTGAAAATTCCTTTCATTCATTCAATTTGAATCCTGATTGTATCTTGTACCCCTTGGTTGGAGGAATCTTTTAAAGCTTAGTTAATCCATGATCGTATACAAATCGAAACGCAAGCGAATCTCAAATTGACAAAATTCTGCTTCCATTTATTTCGTTCATTCTTGAATCCTGATTGTATCTTGCCCCCTGGTTGGGGAACGGGCCTCGATCGACATCTCAAATTGACAAAATTCTGCTTCCATTTATGCCTGAACTGACGCACAATACATTTCCTGCAAGGCAGCATGAGCCCCCAAATCTCCGCAGACACAATCAGCACGAAACGATATGTCTAAGGCGTGCTGTTCTATCTGTTCACGAAATTGCCAAAAGAAAAACCATGCAATTCAGAGAGAAAGGCCCCAAGCAGCCGTCGCATTTGGTCCAAAAACCGCCGCCGGCTTCCCCGCTCGGCACCTGCCAGTCTGCCACTGCTAAGCGGCCGTCTGCAGTCTGCCGCGTGCTGCATCGGCGGACTTCTTCAGCTTCAAGCTACCACTCCAGCGTGGCCTACCTCCAATCTACTCATGGAACGTCACGGCTCCGCTCCCTAAACGAAAAGCACGCAGTACTTGCACGATCAACGCCTGACCTCATGTGCTCCTGACCTGTCCTTTCTTGGTCGCCAAATCTCTTTCGCTCAAAGGCACGGCGAGCTGTCTGTCATCTGTATTGACTTTGCACGGAGGCGCAAACCAGTTGTCTTACCTATCGGAGATGCCGTGCTGTGCTCACCGCTGTTTCTTGACTCTCGCAACCAAGAGTTTGCATAGACTTTTTCGCGTACTGCATGCAGTACATGCAAGGCACGACAGTACGGCACGCGAGGGATCTAACGTGACAAGTGCCCGGGCCAATTTTGCTTGCGCCTCTGTTCTGTTGTGTTCTGAAATCTGCGCTGGTTGCTGTGTTTGCCATCACAAAATTTCCCTCCTCTTCCTCTCAAACGGAAAGTCTGACAACTGAAGTTACCTATCTCCACAGGATTGAGGATTCCCCTCCGTGTCCGTGAGCCTAAAGTTGCCGATCCGTGCAGCCGACAGAATGATCACCACGTAACTTCCTCACGCTACCACCTCTAGTGGAAACAGTTACCAGAACGGCAATGTTCATCCGTAAGTCCAGAACAGCATGCCCAGAGAGATGAGTCCTACACGGATCAGTGGTTCCAAATTGGTGGTGTGTGATGCGAGCGCTACAACCAGCCGCCTCAGGTGTTAACATCACGGTGAGCATATCAGGACATGCATACGCCAGCACAGAAGTGAGCTCGCTCTTGTGGAGAGAAGAAAAATGACGGGCCCCGGGTGCAGCATAAATGCATCATTATCCTGAGATCGAATCGATCCGATTTCGACAGCTTACCTGATTCCTCTGGACTCAAACTGAGAGCTAAATAATGGTGGAAACGCGCAAGCATGCGTGGGTGTTTGCGTATGGGGATTATTGATTATATAGTACAGAACGGGGCTAGACAATAAGACAAAGCGATCGGTGGCGACGAGAACAGTCAGACTGCATTATCGAGGGTCACCATCGGGGAATTTAACAGCTGGTAGGGGCCGGATGACGGGTTAAAAAATAGGATGTTCTTAACATTCCAGCATCAGACAGTATGTCCTCAGCATTTTAGCATCATCAATGACGACTCGGCCCAGCTCAGCCAAAGGCCCAAACAACAAAATCTGCTTGCTAAGTTAATGGATTGGGAACTTGGTCTCTCGGCAGTCAGGTCTGTGACTACAAAACTCAAGACATGCCAAGCATCTGCTAGGAGTCCCATTCACATCCTGATGAACTGCGTATGGGCATACCTGCACATTCTTTCCACAAGGCATGAAAACAGAGGTGTTGTCAGGACCCTAGTTCAAAGAAAGAGTGCAACGCTGAAGAATATTTGAGCCAGCAAAAGCACATTAAAGCCATGTATATAACAAAGATGGCAAAGACAAGCACCCCCACAAAGTCCATACAAATCTGACCTACCAGATGATGTTCCCTTGCTCTTTGGTTTAGTTTAAATTGGAGTCTAGGTGCCACCTTATGCTTCAGACTTATCTGTGGATCTCAGTTTTCTGTTCATGTTGTCAAGATAACCCTGTTCAGGAATGGATCATCATCAGTGTCACTAAAGCAGCTTGAGATGACTTTAACTGAATGAACTATGTATCATCTGTAACGAATTGAGTTGAAAACATGAAATCTGCAATAGTAATGCAAAGCCACCCTGGTATTAGGAGTATGTACCTGGAGTATGCAAACTGCAGCAAATTTATCTGTCATTGTTTTGGCCTCATCCCGATTTTTTAGATTCAGAGGATGCAAGAGAGCTTCTACACACTGCAGAAAAGCACAAGAGGAAGATCAAATGATCAATCAAAGCACTCCACTAAAGAAGAACCACAAAGAGAGATGGAAGGAGAGTAAAACGTGTATATAAAAGGAAGGTGCTGCACTATAATGAATCTGATAATATGCCTAGCATGCTACCACAATGTAATATATTTTTTTAGCGCAATACCACAATGTAATGTAACATCTACATTCAGAAGAAAAGTGCACGCGCCACCTATTGATTCTGTTTCTCATGTATCAGCAAGAAAGTTCAGAGAAAAAAACAGAGTTCACCTTTGAGGTGAAATTTTCATCCCAATATGTATAGGACAGATCATCAAGTTTCCCTGTTTTACAAAGCTCTCCAGCAAGAAGCCTTACTTGGACTGCCTAATTTACAGACAAAAGAGAGCATTAAAAAACATTAAGTACCACAAAGGGGAATTGTACATGAGCATGGGCACTTTACATCTGGACTAGGTTGACCGTGGAGATTGAATGGATAGCCCACAACGAACCCATCTATGGAATACTTCGAAACCTATCCAAGTAAACAAAGTTGGCATTAGTGATTACATCTTTCATCCCAATTAAACTTCAACTAATGTTGAAAGTGTATAAGGCAAACAAGTTCAAGAAGTAACAACTGAAAAACTACGAAAAATCAGTTAAAATGCTGATATACGCATAGAACTTTGCATTACTGCAAATAAATAGCAGGGCCAACTGCCGAACCTAAATATTTTGGGGGAAATAAGTGATAAATCAAAACGAATTTAGTAAAAGAGAATGATGGTGTGATGCACAATCACTCACTATAGAATGATGCTGTATGACATATTGAGTACTCAATCTTTTGCTAAGGACCATTTTTTGATATATCCACAATAATGATAGAAGAAAGTGAACAGGTATTTTCAACATACCAATGTTTTGAAATCATCTGCCATCAAGTTGATGTTTGTCTTTGTCCGACACAAAACACTGCAAGATTCATTCAATAACGGAACTTAACAACAAATAATGATACATGAGTCTTTTTCTATCAAGTTAATGAATGTAAACTATCTTCTGAACTGCAATTGTTACATTTTTCACAAGATATAGATTTGACTGTAATGAAACCAGATATAGGAATATAGCCAATATCCACAAAACAACACATTATCTTGTTGAGCTTCTAATTCAAATCTTGTCAGCCTTGACTTTGCGACAACAACAGAGGCAATTATTGCAAAACTCCAGGCAAGTACAGGGCAAAAAAAAAAAAAAAAATAGACTAACACAACCCATCAGAATACAGTCTGACCTGCTTGGCCCAGCCTGATCGAGCAAAGGGCAAACTGATGACGGTTGGGTGTGTTCTACATGAAAAATAATGAACTAATACCCAGATGGTTTGGTAACCATGTGCTTATCTTGTACTGCTAAATGACTAGAAGTGTCTTCTGAGTACCTGCATCTCTATTTCTAATCTACACACAGAGATCAGTAGACATGTGGTCCTTGAATCAAATATATATGAATTTGGAGTCTTTCTTTCACCCATCAAATATGATAACCTATAGTTTTAAATTTGTATTATTTATGCAGTTTTAAAAAAATCGATGCAAATAAAGTGGTTGATCCTACCAAATGCATTCCATAGGATGTTTTAGAGATGCACACAATATCCAAAAGAATATCATAATAGGCCAGCACCACATCTACTACTCAACAATTCACACCATTTCTGTCACTTCAAAATGCAGAATACAAATAAAACACCTCGCTCCAATCATCAAGTACTATCTTGAGTAAGTTAACATCTGAATTGGTACCACAGTGAAATTTAAGCAGGTCGAAAAATTGTAAACTGAAAGAATGCACCATGGAATATAACATTCTTGCACACACATTCATATTTCAACCTGCATCTCAATCTTGAGATGGAAAATATAAGCTTATATATGTTGGATTACCACAGTGATTTCACTGAATATGTGCCCTACACAAGTTAACATAGGAACAAAATCAAACCCTCTAAACATAGCACTAATCGCAGCGAGCCCGTTGTGCGGCGGGCATCAATTGTTGGAGGTGCTTACCTCAGAGGCAAAGCGATCCTGTTCTTCTCATCGGACACGGCCACCCCGACGTACTTGCTGCCAACGTCGAGCCCCAGCAGCCGAGCCGCCTTATTCTTCGACCCGACCTCCAGAACCTTCCGGAATAGCTCCTCCGCTTGCAGCAACCTCATTGTATACCTCCGCCGGAACAACGCAGTGGGCGATGGGTTCGGGTCGACAGCAGCGCAGCCGCGTAGGCGTAGGCAACGGAGAGCGCGGACGGCGGTGGCGGCGGAGTTAGGGGAAGGGATGCAGAGAAGAAGTGAAGGAACTGAAACTACCAATTTGGACGGCCTAGATTAGTAGGATAACCATCTGATGGCAGATGGGCAACGGCAACTCGGCAAGTACAAACTGGATGCCCCACCGGCCATCGCACTAGACAACGCCCCCGCCCACATTCCCGTCCCTCGGGCTCTGGCTCTCCCTTCCCCGAGCCCCCTGCGCCTCGGCCGTTGCGGACCGCAGGAGTGAAGATTCCATGGCGGAGGAGGTGGCGCAGGAGCAACCGAGACCCACGGCGCCACGCCTGGTGCGCTGTATAGTCAAGCTAGGTGCTCTCTCGCGCCTTCCGCAACGACTGCTTGGCTCCTTGTTGTCCGTGCCTTTGTAGCTCTGTGTACTCCTCTCTGGCATTGGTTGATTTGAGAAGCTATGGTGGGGTGGCGGTGGCGCAGGTGGAGCAGCGATTACGAACAAGGGCGAGCTGGAGAGCATCAACGAGGAGAACCTACGGTCGGCATGTGCGCAGCTGCGGCATGCCATGTCCGAATCTGACGGCGATGGCGCCATGGAGAAGTTTCTGGGGATGGACTGGAGCAGGAAGCCCGGAGATCCGGTCGACCCGGCCGTGGACGCGGAGTGGATCGCGGGAATGGCTGGGCTGGGGCTCGACACTAACTTCATCGTCGTGCACGGCGCCGGTATTGTTCGGACTCTGAATTGACTCTGACAGTCTTACTGAATTGACTCTGGCTATCTGTCTTACTCCTTTTATAAGTTACAAGCTGAACTGGTTGATTTGGTGTGGGATAGACGGCACATGACTGTTCATATATTTTTTAGAACTTGGAAGCTTGGAATTATTTAGCAAGGAACATTGCACAAATGCCTCTCAGTGGAAGAGCAACCGTGCACATTGGACTGCCCGGCTTAGTTAGACACAACTCAACAGTAGTTTCAACTTCGATTTTATGGGTCTAGGGTCTTCCTCAGCGATATTTCTAAGAAACTGGAGAAATTAATCAATTTATTTATTACTTGGAAACTATTATTAGACTGGTACATTTTATTAAGGTAGAGCCTAAAACAATAGTGGATAAATATAGTTTTAGGTCTTAGGATACTGAGTTTCTGATATTCTGCTTCAGGGTCTTTTGGCCACTTCCAAGCAAGTAGATCTGGAGTTCATAAAGGAGGGTTACATTCGACACTGGTGAAGGCTGGCTTTGTCGCTACAAGAATTTCAGTGAGGCCAATTATGGAATTCTATTTGACGAGGATATCTTGAATTTTGATGTCTAATATTCTTGTCCAGTATCTTGTCAAAATGTTTGTGCTTCTCTGATATATATTCTGGAAGCATATTCTAATTCTAATGCATTTTTTTTTTGTAATTTAGGTGACGTCTCTCAACCAGGAAATTGTTAGAGCCCTTGCAAGAGGTATGCAATTTTTTAGGTTACTTGTCCATGTTTTTATTTCCATGTGGTATGCAGTTTTTTAGGTGACATCTCTGTATTTTGTTTTTTCTCATATCGATGTTGCTTAGGCACTCAGAATTCATGATTATGTTTCCCCCTTATCTGCAGTAGGCTATGTTATGTTTCCTTGCATTTAGTTTGAACATATAATTAAGTTCTTATTTGACTCATGGGCCAATGCAAGGATGCATCATCATTTGTCATGAACCATTTCTACCTGTATCTGCAAATCTAAGTTCTTAATAAACTTCCTACAAATCAACTGGCGTATTTGCTTGCCTGTAAATAGACCTTGAATTGTTTTTACTAGATTGTCAGTTAGAATCAGTGGTGGGCACGAGACTTATGGAACTGCATATTCTTTTGCAGAAGGAATACCATCTGTTGGGATGTCACCATTTGCTTGTGGGTGGTCTACCCAGCAAAGAAAAGTGAGCAAACTTGAAAACTATTGCTTTCTTGCATATCATTCTGTATCTTCTTGGAACTAGATAGTTGTTTTACATCCATACCTAATCCTGTTAATATGCATTTGCAGCTTGCATCAGCAAATGCTTCTCAAATAATTCAGTCACTCCATGCAGGCTTTGTCCCAGTAAGTTGTACCAAAGGTTTTGAACCACTATTGTTTCAGAATTTCATATTTATCAAAGAGAGGGCCTGGTGCAGTGGTAGAGTCTCTCCACTTGCAGCCTGGGGATCCTTGCAAAATTAAGCAAGAGTAAGGATGTATAAAAGTTCTCTTCCCCAGACCCCATCTTCTATGGGAGCTTTCGGCACTGGATATGCATGCCTGAAGTTGTTAGCATGAGTGATATAGTTAGTCACCCTCATATTTGATAGCATATGGTGCTACTGGAATATGTATCATATTATTAATTATTTCTTATGCATGCGCTATTTTTATGCATCACTTAATCTAGATTGTACTGGCAGTCTGGTACTCTTGATAGTCCTTTTCTGTACTGCACATTGAACGATAAAGCAAGTCTTATATGAATTATTTAGTATTAATTTCAAGCATAGGGGAAGCATTAGATAAGTTCCATGTGCTTTCTCTGATCGGCAGCTGGAACCTAAACATGATCAGAAATTAATATAAACTTTTGCTTATAGCATAACACCCTTGTTTCTTGCAGGTTTTGCATGGTGATGCAGTTCTTGATGAATTACTGGTGAGTTTTCAAACCAAAGCATGTCTACATTCTTGTTTAGATTTTGTGGACTATGAAGTTAATTCATTTTTATTCAAACTAAAATTGATCTTATCATTAAATGACCAGGACTGTACCATATTGAGTGGGGATGTCATTATACGACATCTTGCACAGCTTCTAACTCCGAAATATGTTGTATTTCTGGTACTGTTACCTTCTCTCCTTTACAGCTTTAAAAGTTTTCTGTTATTGATGGAAGATGGTTTTGTACACTGTATTCTATAATTGATTATACTGTCTTCCTTGTGATACTAAAAGTTTGCTGTGTTCTCCTTTTCTCCCATTCATATACTTCAAATGTTCCTTTCATTTGTTTCTATAAAGCATTGGCATTTATATGGTTCTCTGAAAATTGAGATGTAGACAGATGTCCATGGAGTATATGATCGCCCTCCAACTGACCCAAATGCGGTACTCCTGAGAGAAATAGGTTAGTATTCACTGGTTGATTTTCATCTGCCCATAATATCTAGCCTTTACTGTTTGATATGTATTAGTCATTAATTATGGGAGGAAACAGGACAAGGAAGGTAATGCAATTGCCATCATTTCAAGTCTTCGGAAAAACATGGAAATATGCTTATTCAACAAATTTTAGCTGACTTGTGCTAGTTAACAGAGGTGGATGACAACGGAGGCTGGTCGATTGTAAAACCTGCATTGCTGCAAGGCAACACTAAAGGAGGTATTGTGTCATATTCCTTTTCATGTAGATTGCGATTGTCAAATGATCCTAGGCCCTAAGACATGTTTAGTTGTACTGAGGAGTTATGCTCCTTCCAAGTACCTCATTCAGGTAGTTTACAAGTGACAACTTTCTTATTGACAACCCAGGATAACTGAATATGCATTGCCAACCTAGTTTTTAGTCACCATTGACTCATTGAGTATGTTCTTCCATATTTTCAATAACGTGACAGCAAATGCTCATAGTGAAGGTGCAGTGGTCTACAAGCCAACTGTAGGCTCACACTATGGTTCATTAGGCTGAGGACTAGTGACAATGATGGCCTGGTTATATTTCTTCTAAACTGCTTGTTGTAGCCTTGTGTTTTGTAGAATAAGATATCTGTTCTCACGTGATGCAGTGGAGATATCAGTAGCAGCACATGACACCACCGGTGGGATGGAGACCAAAATACTGGAGGCTGCAGTGATAGCTAGGCTTGGAATCGATGTGTATATTACCAAGGTGAGAATGCTCTGCTTCCATTTTTCCATTTTGAAACATGGAAATGGCCAAATTTTAGCATTTTTTTTTTCTGAATGGATATGACCCAAGCATTATTCAATGTATTATGTGATGCAGGCTGGAACAGAACACTCGCTGAGGGCCTTAAAGGGAGATGTGAGCACTGACTCGGAAGATTGGCTTGGAACTATTATACGCTCTTCCAAATAGATTTCTTGTTGCAAAACATTCGGACTGGTTACTGGCGATTATCTGTTATATTATATGAGCCGTGATGAGCCTTGGGCTTTTGATGATGATTCAGCACGGGTCTATTCCCAACTGTGATCGTAGTTTGATTCATAAGCGTCAGCCTGATGTTACAAATACTGTTCAGTAACTTGTTTTTTGTTTTTCGAAAAGAATAGATGCATTGGTCGCAAGATGTGTGACCTCATTTTATACGTTTTAATCGTTTCATTTTCTCAATGGGATCTGCAACATCTTGGGTGATAGCATAACCTAAGATTTTGAGGGATGCATCTTGGGCTCATCCAAAACTGGTGAAGCCGTGAAGGAGTGGTCCTGGCCTCCTGGGCCCCTGGCTGACCTGGTAGGCTGGTACTGGTAGTATCTGGGCCGTATGCACGGTTCGAGTATTTTCAGTTTCCAGAGCGACTGGTTCAGGTGAGGGGAGAGGGAGGGGTGAGGCGAGCAGGCTCCCTTCTTCTCTATCCACACCAACAGTAGCAGAACTGCAGTCTGCAGAAGCAGTATGGCGCGGCTGTAACTCGGCCCCGTCACCTTCCTGCCCTCTCCGTTCCCGACGCGCAGGAGCAGTCGCCGGGTTCCGGTAAGCGAGCTATCCCTCCCCACACCACTAGGATTGAAGATTCACCCCAAATTCGGTTCCATACAGAATCTAGCGCGGCGGAGCGCCGCTGCAGCGCTGCTCTGCCAAGCGCGGTCGCCGCTCGGCCCGGTGCTTGTTCCCCAATGCCTGACGCTTCTCGTGCTCACCCCATCGCCTGCCCCCTTTGCGCGCCCGCGTTAGGCGTCGGTGCATCCCGTGCGCGAGCGCGGATCAATACCCCCATGCGATTGCCTGTAATTGTGAACAGAACAACAGATTGTCCTCAATCTAGAGACAAGCTACAAATTGATGTCCCTTGCTTCGTTCTTGTAACAAATTGTAGGGTGTCGTGAACTACTATCAAGCGAACCACTCAGTCCTGTCTTCCTTAGTCCAAAGTCCCAAGCATTAATTAGTTGACAGGGTGCCTTGCTAGTTGCAGAGCACTAAGCAATTTGTTGAAAGTTTTGCGTGCACCAGGCAAGAGTTGCTATGCTAATCATTATTCAGTTCATGCTTTGCCAGAATTGGAGATGCCATTTGCCACGGGCGCACTCCATTGATTTGGACTGAGTTGCGGAAATTGTGATTGAACTGCCCCAAGTTTCAAGCCCGTACAATGCAGGTCATCTCTATATGCGGTTCAGTTGCCTCTCCCCATGGGGCAAACTGCAGAAGGGCTTGTGTTGCAAGGAACTATGTGAGGCTGCCTTGTGAGGTTAATGCAGTAAGCCAGGGATTGTACTCTTTGCATTGGTGTGTGCATAAACCACAAATGAAGACCAGTGGGAGACGAATGAATGCGGTGGTAAGTACTAATGCTAGATGGTTGTTTGGAGGAGATGGACGTAGCAATGATGCAAGGCTGGAGCGCAGCGAGTCTGCTAATGAAGATATTTTGATCTTCTACTTCCAGATGGATCTACAGACCCGGATACAAGTGAGTAGTTGTTTATTTATTCTTCGGGACTCAACTCTCTTAAGACAAAACCGGGGGGATGTCTTCTCCCTGTGGTTGGATTTTATTTGTTTATTTATCGTTACATTCTATAATCTATCACAAACAGAAGCTACTGCTCCAGCTACTAATGGTTTTCATATACCTATTATTTCACTGATCTATTGTCTAGTGTATGGTCTATTTACTGAACACTGAACATATCATCACTACACTGCTGTGAGTAATATTTGATTTTTCCTGCCCCACTCTTGGTTGTTTGGTTTTTACCAGTATGCATTGAATATAGAACAATTTGATGTGGCAAAGCAATTGAGGGAAAAACTAACCGAGGTAACGTAACAACTTCACTTCCAAGTTAATGGGAAGCGAATACGTAGGATAGGATGAGAGCTTGCTAAAGAAGATACCCTTTTGTAGATTGAAACAGAAATTATTAGGCAGCGTGAAGCTAAAAGGGGTTCACCAAAGACTGAAGCTCAAGACAAAGCTCTAAATCTTTTACGTGTGCGGTATGTTACCATTTCAAGCGTTCCATGATAATAATAAGATTGAGTGCACTTGTACATGTTCTCACATACACATTGTTCACATGAAGAATTCATATGTTCTGGTGCTCCCCTTTGTTATTTGACCTATACCGTAGAAAATCTGATGAGGGAAAACCAGTTATTGGGCAACCAAAATCGATCCATTTGGAAGCTACCTTAAATTTCCCCCTTTTATTACAGTGCAGATTTGCAGAAAGCTATTGACAGTGAAAACTATGCTTTGGCAGCTGGTCTCCGTGATGACATTGCCAAACTTGAGGTATAACAAAACTGAGGGGGGCTAGTCTTATGACTATTTTGTTCAGTAACTTACATATGAATTTCTAATGTCATGTAGGCCGAGTCTCTTGTCGTATCTGCTAAAGCTCTTGCTTATCAAAATGTGAAATATGCTTTTCGATTAGGGCAGAAAGTACGTCACAATATACATGGTGAGTATTTCTATACGATCTAAATATAGTTCACCTTGTCCTATGTAGCTATGCATAATCTCAATGAATATGCATTTTCTTCAAAACCTTTGGCTCACAATATGGACACTCAAAAGCATTTTAAATTGGTCCTCTTTTTGTAACAATAGGCGACCACTTTGTGCTATTTGTTTTCAACATTCTCAATATCTTTGAAAGGCACCTTCAAGTCCTTATTTTCATTGTTTCAGTTTGGGATTGAACCAGATTCACTAAAATTACTCTACACTATCAGCTTGGATTGAACCTGAACCAACGTAATAACTTCTAGATTTTTATATGAGCTATGTAATTAGGCTGCCTAGTGTGTTTGTTCATTTTCAATCTGTTGATAAAGCTTATCTGTAGCTTTATTCATCCTCATTTGCTTTTGAGATTAAATCCATAGTTTAGTATTTGGTTTTAAAGTTGACTTGGTGAACACTCTAGTTCATCCTGACTTTAATTTTGCACCATCATGCACTCATGCTGAAGGATATAGAGGCGTGATATGTGGCATGGATCCGGTGTGCTGTGAATCCAAGTCCTGGATGGAGACAGCAAATGTGGAGAAGCTGTCTAAAGGTCCAAATCAACCTTTTTATCAGGCAAGTACAGCTTCCAAAGTTGTATCAGTATCCACAGTTCATAGCAGATCTCAGTACTTTTTTCTTGTAGATTATAGTAAGCTATTTTTGTAAGTTTACAGTAAACTGCAGCTGCACTAGACTAGCAGAATGATAACATGTTATATATGACAATCCTGGCAAAGGCTAACTTGTTTGTTCACCTGATCATAATTAACATGCTTGTACAATTTATGAAATTCATAATTGTACACTTGCAGACGTGTCCTGAAATTGCTAATAATCCTATATCAGGACTTTGATATTTTTTCTATTCTGTGACATTTATTATTGAAATAACCTACCCTCCTGCTGTCCAGCCCATAAGGCCCAGCCGACTGCCCATGATCAGCAGTATTGAGTATTGACATTTGTTAAATGAGCTTTTTCTCTCTGGGTGCACATCCTCTTAGAACCAATTTTCTTAGGTATACAATACAAGTATATAGCAATGCATTGTGAGCTGATTCTTCATTATCAGTTTCAGTTTCTGGTCTTTTGAGACTTTGGCATGCTATTTAATTTATTGTTTAATGTTTCAGGTCCTGGTTGATGTATATGTTGATCCAGAACTGCTGGTTGCATATGGTATGCTTTCCTCTTTCTTTTTGTTAGTTGATAGTTGCTGGTCCCAGTTTGGCCGATTATTCTCTCTTACTTTGACGCACATGTTAATCTAGAGATCTTTTTTATTTTATTTTTCTTTTTTCACTTCTCCCCAAGGGGCAGTGTACGAGAACCATTCCACTATCAATTTTTTGAAACAAACTATCTATTAATACAATGATACGCACCTCTCCTGCTAATTCAAGAAAAATGAATAGTTGTTCTAATATATGCATTTGAGGATTTAAATTTGGCTTTGCCAGATAAAATAATGCATCTCTTGTTACGATTCTACGATTTCATAGTTATGTCTAAAATGAACTTTTATGGGTCAAAGGGTGCATGTAAATTGAAACAGGATAGATGCTATTCCACAATTTTCATTATCAAAGATACTTGCACCTTTAAAGAAACTTGTGCAGTTTTGATATTTCAGTTTTCAATTTCAGTCGCGGAAGAAAATCTTTCTGCAGCTGAAGAATCAGAAAAAGTGGGTATATGTTCTTCATATGATTTTTGCTCAACACTTCGGGTTTTGTATTTGTTGAGCTTAAGTAATATTGTTCCCTTTTTGTACTGTAGGGAAGGTTTGATCACCCCTACATTGAATTTCTCTTTTACGGTGAGGACACAGCTGGGGATTTCATCCCTATCAAGCAGCTCCGTGAGAAGTATGACCAGCCACGTTATGAAGCTTCTGGAGATGAAAATGAAAGTGACAACGATGGCAACACAAATAGCTGAAGGGCAAGGTATCACTTAAAATGGTATTTGTGCATCATCAAACTGACCTGCAAACTTAGCTTTAATCCCTGTCTGTGCAGTGCCTTCATGTTGCTAGAGTTGTTTTGGAACCATTTTGATTCACCACCACCAACTGAGATGCGATGTGATGAACTGTCTGGTACAACTTGAGATGGTAGATGTAAGACAAGACAACCGTTGGCGAACTAGGCATCCTCAGTAACCTGCAGTTATCCTCTGTGTATGCCGTCCAACCTTGCAGATCGGAGATTACTCTTTTAGAGTTTTACCGTCACCAATCGATTAAGCCATGATTGAGAAAAGCTGCAGGTGCCTTGCTTTTATGTTATACCATCGATGAATGTAAACGGAAAAAAAAAAAAGAAAGGAAGGAAGAAAGAAAAATATCACTACGGATGTTCTGTGTATTTCACCGAGACCATATCTAGTTCTGTACTGTACTCGCTGGTGGACAATTGTGCATATGTAATACACTAATACTGGCAACTTCTGTGGATTCTCGAATAATTTACGCGAAGGCTTCACATGCAGTTGTTTGGACTCTGCTTTCATGGAATGACGTGGAAATAACAACTTTCGTTGACTCCTTGCGCTAACCTTTCTTTGGGGAAAAGATTAAGTGACCGTTCGGTTAGGGGTGGTTCTCGATTGGAATCGTTCCTGGTGAACGCAGCTATACAAATTACAGAAGGAATTCTGGTTTTAACGATTCCAGGCCACCAAAATCTTGGATCCGAACGTAGCCTAAGGGCACGCACAACGCAAGTATATGGAACCACTAGCCTCATTCGTTGACAAAAAAAAAAAAAATAGAGTTCCCACTCTCTCCTAAGACCGTCTCCAATGGATGACTCATATGGAAACCCAAATCCAAAATAGGTCGTGGATGGTACTGTATCAGTCTACAACAGAATACCTATATGTGAGACCCATTTTGGGTTACAGTAGAGGCATAACCCAAATATGAGTATCCTCTCTGTTGGAGACTCATTTGCAGAAATGATTCTCTTTTGAGTCATGTTGCTGGAGAAGATCAAAAATAGGTATCGAACCCTTTGCCTATAGCACTTCCCAAACATGGAATGAGTCTTGTATTTTAGGTGATGTTGTTGGAGATAGTCTAAGGCCACACCATCCGCCTACCCCGTCGTCCTGCTCCTACAGAGATAAAAAGTGTACATGCAGTACCTTTTCTCCTTTCTCCCCCTAAGATTGTCTCCAACAGGGTAGCCATCACGGCACCCAAACCCAAATATATGTCGTGCATGTTGCTTTCGGTGAAAAACGACGGTCCAATGGAGTACCCAAACCAAAGACCCAATTTGCGTCGGAGTCGAGTGGGAACCCAAATATGCCTGTGTCTCTCTCCTCGACCCAATCCTTAGACGGCTTCGACGCGGAAGCGACGACGGCGGCGGCCTCCGCCTCGGCGGCGGCGGCGGCGGACCTTCCGGCCACCGGCCGGGAAGGGAGAGGGAGCCACCACCGGTGGAGGAGGAGCAAGCACGACCACGCGCCGCATGGTGGGGAGGAGGATCTGCCGCCGGTGGGGAGAGGACACCGCTGGGGGGCATCTGCTTGCATGAGACGTCGAGGTCGGATCCATCAGAGGAAAGGCGCCGCCATGCGCCTAATCGATCGGATCCGCCATGCACAATGACCGGAGGGAGAGAGGCGGCAGCAAGGTCAGCAGCATGGGCGCCCGCCCATGGCGCAGGTCAAGAAGGAGGACGAGGCGCAGCCTTGGGATCGGCGGCTGGGGCGTTCAGGCGAAGAGCGAGGAAGAGAGAGAGGCAAGGGGACAGACCGAGAGAGGCAGAGAGAGAGAGAGAGGAGGTCGAGAGCAGAGAGAGAGGGAGGAAGGAGACGGAGGGGGAGGGGGCCACCGGCATGCCACCCGCGAGGGCGGCCGTCGCCGCGCCGAGGTCCGGGCACCGCCGAGGTGCGCTCGCGCCGCCGCCCTGTCCGTTTCGGGAGATCGGGAGGAAGAGGGAGGGAGGGAGGGGAAGAGATGTGACGAGGGGAGAGAGAGAAGAGGAGATATTTTGAGCGGTGTACTGTAGATGGGGGAGTGATTTGGGTTGTCTGTTAGAGAAGCTAAATTTTGGGTGGGGATCTTTTTTCCTGTGCATGATCTAAATCAGAGAATATGTGTTGTATTTAGGTTCTCATTGTTGAAGACAGTCTAAGACCACCACCCAGCCGGCCACAACGCAGAAAAAACATTCTCTTCTGCTCTTTGTGAGGTGGGAAAGCGCTGTGAGACCACCAAAGGAAGTGACATGGCATGTTGATGCCCTGGTGGAGGATGGGGCAGTACGCCATCATGAGCCGTTGGGGAAGCCCTAAGTACAATCATGATGCAGCTGAACACCACATTTCTTTCTCAATGTCAAGATGGAGCGCAGAAACGTCGCAGATTCCCTTCTTTTTACACGAACAGTGGTCAGAAAAGTTACATCATTGTAACTATTGAAAATTAGTACTGCAACTTCATGATTTACCGTGTCATGATCTAGCAAACAAGACTCATGGCATCAACCAACAAACCTTTAGGGCCTCCGGGCTCCTTTTTGTTTGCTCTAGCCACGTAGAGTACTGAGAGAAATACCTATATGGCCCCATAAAACTCACTTATTTCTTCTGTGACCCTGAAAACTTCAGAATTCCTTGTATGGCTCTGTGTTCGAATTTCAGGCCCTGTTTGGTTGAGCTTTGTGGTACATGGGAGAAAAGTTCTTTGTGTGCATGTGCTATGGAAAAGTCTCTTTGGGTCATGTGAAATTTATAGAAAAGCTGAAATTTGTTTGGTTAAACAAGTATAAAATATAACTTTTATCTTTATCTCTCTTGAAACAACTATGGAAGAGCTTTTTTATTCCACCAATTTCTGAAAAAGCAGTAAAGCTGTGCAGTCAAACCAAACTTTTCAAAAATGAACTACGGAAAAGAAATGCTTTGAAAGCACCATTCTGGTTGAGCTTTTTTGATTGCTTTTTTGCTTTAGCCAAAAGCCAAAGCCAAAAGCCCAACCAAACAGGGCCTCAGTGTCCTATCGACACTACCATTACTTTTGGACCTTAACACCGTTAAGTGCCATGCGAAATGACCAGAATACTTATAGAAAATGCACTGATTTCTTATATGACATTGTTTAATGTGATGGTAGAAAATATACTTGTTTCCTTTATGACACTGCCTTTTTCTATGTTTTATTTGGACATTAAAATTCATCCACTATATTAATGTGGTTAAAATTTGCAAATAATTTTGTTTTGCCAATATGCATTATTCGTCGAGCCTGGAAAGAGAGCCCGGCTGCCCCCCGCCACGATGCAACAACCTGAAAGATCTTAGCGAGGGTATTCTGTTTTTTCGTCGGCAAGAAATATAATTAAAGTTAAGCGCATACACCCTTGATTGGCTTGTTACACGCGTGCATGAGTGCACGTGTATCTGCACACAGTGCTAGCTTTCTTCACGTAAGGAGCACCGACTGCTTTTTAACCACATTAATATAACGTGGATGAATTTTAATGTCCAAATAAAACATAGAAAAAGGAAGCGTCATAGAGGAAACAAGTATATTTTTCTAACATCACATGAAACAGTGGCATACAAGGAAGCAATGCATTTTCTATAACAGGGGTATTCTGGTCATTTCGCATGGCACTTAATGGTGTTAGGATCCAAAAGTGATGGTAGTGCCGTATATGGCATTGAAATTCGAACACAGGGTCATACAAAAATTTCAAGCTTTCAAGGCCGTAAAAGAAATAAATGAGTTCTAAAGGGCCATGCAGGTAATTCTCTCTAGAATATTCCATCCTATGCAGAGCCGTTGCAAACCCTCAATTAATCCCTTATATATTCGTATATAGCTTGTGAAATCACAAAATCAATAAATATCAAGCGACTTTGCAACCAAATAACTCTTTGTTTAAGATAATGGGTTTTCCCTAATCGTTATGTGAAGTGAACTGTTGAGCCAAAAGTGAGACAATGAAACGTTACGCCAGTCTCAGTGGGGGTTTAATGGCTCAGTTTTCAACACACTTATATTTTAAAAACAGTGTAGAAGAGTTTTAACCCCATGAAATTATATCTCCCATGAAACTTTCATCATCTCTTTTAATCAATACAGTGTCATGTCAGCGTATTTAATGCCCATATAACTTTATGAAACTCTCATTGAGATTGGCCTTATGGTAAATCAATTATATTCGGACCTATTTAGGTCCCACACCACCTCGAGTAGCTACTAAACCAATTAATGTCTTACTTATATCTACTACTCAACTAATAATTAGCTAAAAATTATATTCAAACCTATTTAGATTCATACAACTTACAATTTGTTGCTAAAAAATAGTTGAGATTTTATTTTGATCCTCAACTAATAAGCCAGTTTGTCTCGTTCGAGCCTACCACTTAGCTAACAGTTAGCTATTTACTAGTTTCTTCCTGTTAATATAACTAAGGATAGTCTTAACCCAAAAACTATGAAATAGTTTTCATACTTAGCAAGTCACGTAGACACTACATGTAGATCTCACATTTTTTCAATGAATAGTTTCTTCAAAATTAAATTTTATTCAATCAAATGCGTAGGATCTCTGGTTAGCCTAGAGAGGATGAATAGGCCTGTCAAAACAAACACTCAAACTTTCATCAAATTCAACCTGCGGCACTACCGCTCTAACCTCACGGCACTGTCGGACAGCGGCACTGCCGGGCTAGAACAACGGCACTGTCGCACCTGTAGACAACTTTGAGTCACGGTTCAAAATCAGTGAATGTAAACTTGAATCGGAGAAATTTCTTAGCTTCCTGCAGGTATGAGATTCACAGATCGAGAGCTAAAAGTGGTAGGAACACAACACACAAGTAGATCGACCACAAACCCTAAAAATCACCTCAATAACAATATAAAATACAAATGATGTAAATCAAGCACAAGGTGGCACGATGATTTAACC